GTTGCGATCGGTGCGCGATTTCGCACCGAGTTACTTCGACGTTGTCTTTGTCCATATCCGGGCTATGGATGGAAATACGGACGTGTAGGTTTACATAATCCACGACCGGAAGGTTCGTGCACTTCTGCGCGAATATAAGATGTCTGCGTATATTCGCACTGAGAAAAATACCAAGTCTTGGCTGCATCATGGGTAAAAACGGCGTACACCCTGATCCCGAAACGATCAAGGCGATTAGCAACTGGCCTGTAAAATGAGGACGACCTAATGTTGTTGCTGATTTTCGATCACATCGGCCCGATCACGAGCCGATTGCTCAACCCGAAAGTAGGGATGATCCCACTATCGCAACACTATCAGTGAGTGTTCCGTCGTCAAACCTGACCGACGACGTGCGGAAGGCTACGCAGAAAATAAGTCATTTCTGCGGTTAATGGATTACGTATCTAATCCATGCAGTCAAGCTTTAAAAAGCTTGACGTTTTAATACAGCTCTTCAAACGAATGGTATTAGGTTCGTGATGGACTGCTGTCCTATACAGCAGTCAGCGGCGACACATCTCGTGTCGTCGTTCACGCTCATAATGATTTGCAACTGCGCATCATACATGAGTGTCACGATGCCCCAACAAGTGGGCATCGCGGTAGAGAAATAACTTACATCACGGTGAATCGTGACTTCTACTGGCCCCGCCAGTACGAGTTTGTGTGAAAATACATTCGCGCTTGCGAAGTTTGTCAACGGGTGAAGCCTATTCCTTCATCCCGTGCACCCTTGCAGCCTCTACCGATTCCGACAGAGTGCTGGAAGTCCGTATCGATGGACTTCGTCTTTGGGTTTCCCGAAGACGCTCACAAGAATACTGGTATTCTTGTGTTTGTTGATAGGTTCAGCAAGATGGTACATCTTGTTGCTATATCTGATTCAAAGACATTCCAGGGCTGTGCGCGTGTCTTTATCGATACTAACTTCCGTCTTCACGGGTTACTGCGTTAGCTCGTGCCTGATAGGGACCTCCGCTTTATGGCGGAGTTCTGGCAATCCTTGTTTCTGTTCACTTGGAACACGTTTGACGATATAGACTTCTGATCAACCAGAAATAGATGGTCAGATGGAACGCGTCAACCGCGTTTTCGAAGAGATACTTCGAGGGTACGTCCACTCGTCTACGAGTTGGAGTGAATTCTTGCCGATGGTGAATTCTCCAGCAGCAACTCGGTGCATGCGTCAACAGCGCATACACTGTTCTTCTTGTATGGCCTACGCCATCCACATTTACCCTCATTATAAGAGTGTGACTCTAGTTTAAGGAGGGGGGACTCGCTCGAACAAAACCCGATCTGGTTCCTGCTCATCTCATGCCGACAATGGTGTCGACGTGATGGATGCCGATGCCGATGTCGATGCGATCGACATCGGTGACGATAATGATGGCGACAATTTTAGTATATTCAGCATCGCCAATTACTGCCACATTGAGGACGATGACGCCCTCACTGGTGAAGACAACGTTCTTTCAGCATTGCACACGAAGCGCACTACTTTTAACTAGAGTAAGTCAGCAGAGGAATTTCTGCTGAATCGCGAAGCGGTTGTCCGCTTCGTTTAAACTTCTATTGTAGATGCAATAGACAAGCAGAAAAGAACGCAGACAAACATGAAAGAGCAAATGTTCTTTCATTTGATATAGGAGACCTAGTTTTACTGTCTGCAGGAAATCTACCAAAACACGCAGTGACAAACGTGGGCAGCAGTAAATTACTGCCCAAGTATATCGGTCCATTTTATGTTTTGCGCCGCATGGGCAACAAACACACGATTGAGCTGCCTCATAGGATGCGTACGCATCCTACGTTTTACGTTGGACGTCTCCGCCCGTACTATCAGTACGAGTCCGTTTCGAGATTTGAAGAACAACTCCGCGGTCAAGGGCCGAGACCACCTTCGAGTGGTCCCGTTTCAACGAGCCAGTATGGTCGACTAGCGAAGCGACCTGTTCACGCAATTGAGCGATGTTCTGAAGAGCTGTAGTCAGCTCGTCACGAAGATAACGAGTCGAGCGTTCGTTCTTAAGTTGAGCGAGGCAAACGCGGCACGATAGCTCGAACGATCGTGCGCTAAGGAATTGTAACATTCCTTTACAAGGTCATGGAGCTAGTAACGCCGAGTCCGTTCATGAGCCAGGTCATCGTGTTACTGATCGGTTACACATTTAAGTTCATGAATGTCAAGCTGATCCGACTATCGATCCGGATGAGGTATTTCCGCCATTTCCACATCCTTTGGTGGATTCTGGCGGTGGTCAACGCTTTCTGGTGGAGCGTATTTTGAACCACCGCGACGTGAAGGCCCCCGGAAGAGTCACCTTGTCCGCTGGCGTGGCTGTACACCGGCCTGGGACAGATGGAAGCCTCGTGCCCAGATGATCGTTGATGTTTCGGGTCTCGTCAAGCAATGTGACGAGACCCACCCGCTGCGTTAGAACAAGGGCCGTCGGAAAAAGACCCCCTGAACGCGAGAACAGGGATTGCAAAGTGTTAATCCTTTGAGCCATCTCAGAAGAGATGCGCGCTCTCTAGAAGGAAAGATTAGGAAGTTAGGCCTTCCTTGAGGCACGATGTGCACTGTCCAGGCAATTTGGACATGGGTCGTCCCAAGAGAGACAGGGTAATGCTTAGTCACCCCACGAGAGACAGGGTAACTTTGCCTCTTCTAACATTCGGTGCCACTTTTATCGTACACAGGCTGCGTTACACGATTCAAACCTGATGCAAAACGTGTTAAATTTATTGAGCCAGACGTCACAGCCAATGTTTGCGATACTATGGATGAAAACATTCTAATTCTGAACCAAGACCTTACCGTCTCGACCACGGCTGCCGTTGTACCACCGATGTTTGACGAACACATCGGTATAGAACTCTTCCTCAGCACGAATAGTTTTCGTGCTGGAATTAGGATGCCAGATCCTCTTACAATGGAACAAAGGTATTTGAGCCCGATCGGTGGTCATGCCGGCCACTCGATCTAACTCCTTGGATGATGGCATCCAAGGAGACTCTAAGTGAGGAGCATGGCGCAGTTCAATGCGGTCCCTGGCCTCTTGTGTGGTGTCAGCACGAGCACTGACACCAGTAGAAGCTTGGTCACTCGAGTTGCTTCTCTTGTGGTGACACATAGGTGCATCACCACCATCACCACGCGTCCTATAGTCAGATGGACTGGCGCGAGTCAAGGATTCGTCGAAAGAATCTATCGGTCCCAAGATCTCGGACATGATGCCGCCACGTTCCCCAGATCCATTCAACCTGGCTCTGGTAGTGTCCGCCCCAGATGATCTGGAGGCAGGAGGCGCTGCCTTCGAGTCGGAAACATCATCCAACTTGCCAGAATAGATGCGATCTATTTCCGGCTCATCCGCACTGCGAGTCGCAGAAAAAATTATCTGTCGCACGTGGTGACTCAACACGTGGACTTGTCGCAACAGACACTGAATTATGCTCACTTTCAACAGCAGGCGAATGACCACCTGCTGCTGAGGCTTGCGAAGTACTCTCCTCGGCTGCACGCATGCATACGACCGCCTTACTTGCTCCTTCGGTACCGCACCGCAGGGCCTTGGACACCATGCGATGAATTGGCAAATGATTTGGGTTTGACCAACAAGTGCTCCCCTTACTAAAGTGATCTAACGGTGGTCACGCTGTCTCAATCATTTAAATTCATACAACGGGTGATTAACAGAAAAAAAGGGGGGTGTAACGGGGTAGCCCGTTACATGATATCAACACCAAACGGTGTCAATAGGGAGATTGTCTAGCGTGACAATTCCCTGCCAATATTACCCGAGATGGATAGTGTTGGATGCTTATTATCTCCTTACGATAACAATCACGCTCTGCTTGAACATTAATTGATAGCGACGTATCGATCAAGGTTACCACCAATCGATGCTAGACGCGCGCAATGAGTGGTGAGCAGGTTGTCGTCATACGACGATGTAGTTTAATATAGTTAGATAAAGACTGAAGTTACGTTGATAGCTTAACTATAACAATTGCAGTTCTCTTGGTACCTGTACTTGACGAGTTGTTCGAGTAGTTTAGCTTCCTCTGCACGTACAAGTGTACGTGAAGTTTCGTGGCACCCGAACAAAGGGTGCCCCGCTACACGCGCGATACTTGCAGTAGATGGGAAATGGAGAGACGCTGTAACAGGGCACCCTCAAGTTTGTACTGGAAACAGTACAAGCTACTTATTCTGATGACAGAACAAGGCGGTCCCTCGGAACTTCACGTACACTCGTACGTGCACAGGAAGACGGTAAGAAGAAGCGAGTACTTGGTTAAAGTAAAAAGTAGAACTGTATTTAGCATAGTTAAAATCTGTTAATCAATCACTATTTATCCTCATCTAACTATGTCTAAATACAAATGTGCATTTCAACTATCTGCTCACCACTCATTGCGTGCGTCTGTCGTGGCACGTACTCGTTGGTTGATATAATGACCTATATCAACCAATTAGGAACTACTCGTAAGTGCTGCAGAATATTTGTCCTTATGACAATATTCTGAGAATCTATAACTCTTCTAGTTATATTCTATTAACAATTTCTTATAAATTGTTATGTAACGATTCACCCCGTTACATCACCCCCGCTTAACCATCAGTCACTTTAGTGACTGATTGACTAAATGGATACTCGTCCCAATCATTTGGGACGGGGTTTGCACTTGTTGGTCCGAGTCTACTTTCCAACAATTCATCGCATGGTTCACAAGCCCATGCGATGCGCGAGCCAAAGCAGAAACCGTTAAAAATTGATGTGTCATCGGTTGCTATAGCGTCATAGTCTGTATCACCTGGTGATGCAGACGCTCGTCACGAAGACACTCATGTCTTCACATAGTACGAGCTCGGTGTCTCATACTCTCCTGATACGGAAGAGGAATCTGTATCGAAGGCGGTTGAAAACAAGCCGCCTAATAAGCGTGGCATGGATGATGCTATGCGTCGCAGCATCTTTGGTTCATCTGATGAATCAGATGAACCATCGCCGAAGCGAAGGCGCTCGAGGTCGCGAGACTCGGGCGCTAATAGTGGTGTCGGTTCTCCAATGGACACCACTTCACAGCGAGGTGCCAGTACTTCTGTCGGCACGTCGCAGGAAGAGCGGGACCGCAATGTGTTGCGTCTCGCTCCAGAAAAGAAGGCATGGATGCCTCCCAAATCCGTCATGGATCACTTGTCGGCGACGACGAGTGATCGTTATCGAACACAATTGTTCGATTCGTCAAGGATCCATCACCTTGACCCCAGCGCGAAAGACTATCGCGCTGAACACGAATTCTTCATCGATGCTTTCTTCAGACATCGATGGTACAGTGGGAATCACAAGCGTGATGGTCCCTCACTACTTCAGGCGTGGAACGCCTACATCCATAACCTCGAGGATGTAGGTCGTGACGCTTGGAACGACAAACTTATCAAAGCTCGTGATAAGTTCGAAAAGCGAACCCCGACAGGTGCACGCTACAAGCTGCACCGTCTGTCAAGGGAGAAAGGGTTACCCTGCCTCTCCTGGGGAGACTCGTGACCATGTCGTGTGAACAACTCTGCACGAGCACCTAAGGAGGCTTACCTCCTTAATAAGCCGTGGTGGCGCGTACGTATCTCTAGTGAGATGTACGAAGGGATTGACAACCTGAAATCCCTTTACGACCGTGCCGGGAAGACTTTCTCCGGCGGTCCTTCTGCGGCACAGGATATGCCGCGTCGTACTGCTCGACCAGACCCAGTACGTCAACCATCAGTTGGGATAGGGGCTCCCAAGTATCCCAGGACGGGGGATAGCCGCTCCACCGGACGAGATAACTCGTCCGAAGTCCGTTCACGTCGCGGTGGTTCAACAGCTGCTCAACTAGATAGCGCTGGCCACCGCGAGAGTCCTCTAATGGAGGTGGAAGAGGAAAGAAGACGCTCTCCACACTATCGTGGGCATGCGTGTGTTCCCGAGAGCTTCTTTGATCGCGTAACGCAAGGGTTACGCGGCGATCTCGAACATGAGCGGGACAGGCGTCTCCAACTGGCGGACGCTGTCTCGAAGCATCGAGCTGAGTTTGCCTTTGCTCAGCTTGAGAACGAGAGATCTCTGACATCTCTTCGTGAAGAGCTAAGGGTAGCTCGTGGGATTTTTGGTCGGTCTCGGGCTGAGATGACTGCTCTTCAGACCCTTGTCGATATCCACCATCGGGAGCGCAAGGGCGTTCTTTATCGGAAGAAGCGGCGTACTGATGGTACGGCTTAAGCCGACCAACGTAAAACGTGGGATGCGTTCGCATCTTACGTGGCAACTCGATCGTGTATGCATTGACTAAGCGGTGCAATACACGAAATGGGCCGATGTACTTGGGTAGAAGTTTACTGCTACCCAAGTTAGTCACTACGTGCTTTGGAGGATTAACCGTAGACAGTAGGACTAAGTCACCTTTATTAAATAAAAGAGTGTTTGCCCTTCCATTCTTGTCAGCGTTTTGCTTTTGCTTATCCACTGCTTCGGCGATGGAGTCTTGCACAAAACGGACTACTGTTTCACGAGCCAGCATGAACTCATCTGCTGACTCGTTAGCATCAGTGCGCTGTGAGTGCACTGCAGCGACATCAATCTTTTCTTCAGTGAGGGCTTCCACACTCTCACTGGCATCATCTTCTTCGATATCGATGTTATCGATATCGGCATCGAACGCAATGACTTCTTCGTCAGAGCGTGATGAGCTTGAACCAAATCGGTTTTTGCTCGCGCGAGTCCCTCCCCCCCTTAAACCAGAGTTACACTCGATTAAGGTGGGTACACGCAATTGGCGTAAGCCATTCACGTAAAACGGTGTATGTGTCGTGGACGCATGCACCGAGTTGTTATTGGCAAACTCTACCATTGGCAAAAACTCACTCCAACTCTTAAAGGAGTGTACGTATCCTCGAAGTATCTCTTCGAGGACACGATTGGCACGTTCCGTCTGACCATCTGACTCTGGATGATCAGATGTCGACACCTTCAAGCGCGTTCCGAGTGATTTGAACACGGAACACCAGAAATCAGCAGTGAAGCGTGGATCTCTGTCTGATACGAGTTCACAAGGCAACCCGTGAAGTCGGAAGATGGTGTCAATAAAGACACAAGCACAGCCACTTGCCGTGCTTGACTCTGGTACAGCCACAAGGTGTACCATTTTGCTGAATCTGTCAACAAATACGAGAATACCCGTATTCCCGCGTGCGTCTTTGGGTAACCCGAAGACAAAATCCATTGAGATGGATTACCAGCACTCAGACGGAACCGGTAGAGGCTGTAAAGGTGCACGCAGTGAAGGGCTTGACTTCACTCGTTGGCAGACTTCGCATGCGCGAACATACTTTCGCACAAACTGATACTGGCGGGGCCAGTAAAAGTCTCGACTCACCGTGAGATATGTTTTCTCCCGGCCACGATGTCCTCCTATAGGAGCATCGTGATACTCGAACATGATCCGCAAACGCAGATCAGTATCATCTGGAATGACAACACGTGGTGTGTCACCAGAAACGGCTGTATAATACAGTAAACCGTTGCGAGTAGTGTATCGATCTGATGCAGATCGATACGCAGGCGACAATCGTTTCAACGATTCTCGAGATGGTTGGGAGAGATGTGATAACAACTTCACTATCTTACCATCTTGTGCGTATGCCCGCCTCACATCATCATTCAACGTTGGAGATGGTACTGAGGACGTCATAACCGCAACAGTGACTGTCTCACTGTTGGGTTTCACGACTGGTTCAAAGTCGGGATGACGTGAGAGTGCATCAGCGACGACAACAAGTCGTCCTGGTTTGTACTCGACCGTAAAGTCGTATTCTGCAAAGAATGACAACCACCGCGCTATTCGTTGTGAAAGGTGCGGGCTGTTTACTGCCGTGCATAATGACGCATGGTCAGTGTAAACAATGAAGGGTCTATCTCCTAATAGATAGACTCTGAACTTCGCGAGTGCATACTTCATGGCAAGGAGTCCCTTGTCATGCACTGGATAGTTCCGCTCAGCTGGTTGCAGCTGACGCGACTGATAGCAGACGACGCGTTCAACGCCTTCAAGATCGTACTGCATTAATGCACAGCCGATTGCGAAATCGCTGGCATCACAGACCACATGAAATGGCCTGTCCTGATCGGCTATTGCGAGGACTGAGGATTGTATCAATATCTGCTTGATACCATCAAAGGAGCGCTGACATTCAGCGTTCCGTAACCACCTCTCGTTCTTTTTCAGCAAACGAGAGAGGTGTACAGTCATCTCGGCGTAATTGCGTGAATACTTGTGCAAGTACGCCGCTAGCCCAAGGAATTTTCGAAGACCTTTGACATCAACTGGCACAGGCCAGTCGGTGATCGCCTTGATCTTTTCGGGATCAGGACGTACACCGCTCTTACCAACGGTGCACCCAAGAAGTGGTAATTCGCTTGCTGCAAATATACACTTCTTGAGGTTTGCATACAATTGATGCTTTCGCATGATTGTAAGAACCTGTCGGACGTTGTATCTGTGAACCTCAACATCCGACTTTCCATCCATAGCTCGACTATGGATGAATACGTCATCGAAATAACTCGGCGCGAATTCTCGTACTGGTCTCAACACATGTGATACACATCTGTTGAACGTGGCAGGGGCATTTCTAAGCCCTTGTGGCATTACTAGCCATTCCAATATCATACTACTAATAGTGATCACTACTGTATACGGTATATCCCGTTCTCGCATAAGGATTTGATAGAAGCCATCCATCAAATCCATGGACGAAAAGATGGTACTCTTTGACACACCATCAATGATTACGTCCTTCCTTGGTATCGGCGTCTGAGCCGGTACCGTTGCAGCATTCAACTTGTTAAATGCATGCACTATCCGCCACCCTCCTGTTACTTTTCGCACACAGAAGGTCGGAGAGCTTTGTGGGGAAGTTGATTCCCTCACATGGCCCGCAGCTAAATGATCGGAAAAGAACTTGTCGATCGCAAGTACTTGTTCACGAGGCAGTGGCCACTGCTTCATGACACAGTACTTCGAGCCCGGTTTAAGCTCGACCTCGTGTCGAATACCTTTATCCTTCGGTAACTCACACGGAACAGTTTCAGGGAATACATCCTTGAATTCAACCAAATCTTCATAGAGAGGATTTGTCTTGAGAGATTCCCACGATTGGGAGTCATATCGCTCAACTCGTGTCTTTTCATCTAGGACACTCTCGTCCATAGATGAACTACTGAGAACTCTCTCGTTCTCAGTGAGCACTGTTGCTGACCTTATGTCGGCTACACACTCGTCGTCAGCGACGAGTACGCAGATCTGCTTGACTTTGCCACTACGCAGATCACGCAAGAACCTTTTATGTTCGAGCGTTGGCAACTGAGTGATCTCCGAAGTCAACTTCGGAGGCGCAATCAAATCAAGTGTAAAAGCGCCTACACTTGATCCGTCATTGACTATGACACTCAATGTCTCTGTCATTTCCTGAAGACTTGTTTCCTCAGGCTTCGAAGGACTTATTCCTTCGGTTTCCCGGGGACTTATTCCCACGGGTTTCGGGAAATTTATTTCCGCCGTATCTGTCATATCGGGACTTATAACCTTAACTTCCTCTAGCTGTGGTTGCGCAACCACAGCGAGATCCTCTATGAAAGGCTCTCCAGTCGATCTAGGATTATCGTTTCGCTTAACCTGAGCGATCGATTGTTTCTCTTCTAGATCTTCCCCGCTAGGGATACATCTGTTTCCCGGTCCACTCGACTAATTCAAGTGGTGGACCTTCGGCGCAGCCTGTGTTTCCTCACAGCCGCCGGAACTCTGCTCCGAAGTATAACTGTTTGTTACACTAAGGTTTTGTTGACTCGTACTAACGACCGTACCACAAGTGAGGCCTTCGTAGTCACTCGTGGTACATCCACACGCTTGTGGACGCTCCAAAACGTTCATCAGATGGCCATCTGATGAACAAGCGGCAGGCATCGTTACTGTTCGATGTTTCCAGTTTACCCGTGGCTCGTACCTTCTGAGCCACGGTATTCCAAGGATGACATCAGATTTGTCATCTAAATCCAATACGATAAAGTCATCATCATATTGGGTATCTTCTAGCGCATAGTGGATCTCCACTCTACGCTTCATGACGGTTACGGATGCGCCTGTCGCAAGACGTACCGTCATCCTCGTAGGAGGTGTGTCACATTCACTGAATTTAAAGTGACCATCTTCCAGCGATTGGCGTCGCACAAAATTGTTAGATGCCCCACAATCGACTAGAGCTCGAAGGGACAACTTATTCGTCACTTCGAGTTTCAAGGTAATGAGTGATATCTCATTACCTAGAGCAGCAACGCACAACGTTTGTGTGTTGGGAGCAACCTTCGTCAAGAGGCCTGCAAATTCTCTTGACGTTGCTGGACCAGTAGGGTGCTCCGCACCTACTGGTCCTGTCCGTTTTTTGACGGTCCATCCCGTTGTTGCGTCTTTGCACCAACAGCGGACCCTCGTCCCTGCCCCTTTCTCATGGGTGGACGGTCATTGCGCCCAGTGTTTCGAGACACTGAACGAGGGGCACTACACTCGTAAGCGTAATGTCCTGTCTTTTGACATCTGTTGCATTTCTGCAACTTCTTGTAGTCTGTAGAGCGAGCCTTCTCGCTCTCTACATAACAGAGTTCCATCTACTCTGAACCTCCGCTGTCATATCGTCTCTACTTACGATATGATGTCGAGCTGGCGCGAGCCTGTCTCAGACTGAAGTCTTCCTGTTCCGCAATGAAAATGGCTTGTTCAATTGAATCTAGTTCAAGCCGGAACAGGTGAGTCTTGACGGGACCGTCCGCAAGACCCTGCATGAACACCGAAACCAACGTGTGTTCATCAACCGGGTTGGAACTTATACAACTCGTGAGATGTCGTATATGTTGCGCGTAAGCGTGCACATCACGCTTACTCTGCTTGAGCTTCAAGAGTTCGGTTCGAGCTCTGAACTCAGCTCTAGGCGGTTCAAACGTTTGTCTGAGCCGCGACTTGAAGACTTCTAACGACCCAAACGCGTGTGGATCGTGCAACTTGAGCCCCAAAGCCCAAGTCTTGGCACGTCCTGCCAGATTGGATTGGGCAAGTGCAACTTGCATATCCCCGTCGTCGATGCAACGCGCCCTTATGGCGTCATCCAATTCGACGAACCATCTCAAGAGGGAGTCCTTTTCGACCCTCCTATACTTAAAGATGTCAATCTTCAAGGTCTCGGGTCGTCGCGAGTGCATCGACCCACCAGCAGCAGCCTGCTGCTGTCTCAACGGTTCAAACTGTTGAGCACCCTGTTATCTCAACAACTCTGCTTGTTGAGAACCTTGTTGGTGAAGCAAGGCTACTTTCTCGCGTTCAGCGTCAAGTTCATTTTGAATGAACTTGGCGATAGTAGCATGTTGGGCATCTCTATTGAGAGCCTCTAGCATGACGCTATCAGCATGGATGCCCATGGTTGAACCCGTCCGTTCAACCACATCCCATTCGACATCGCTCAAATGGGAGTAGCCGGCACGCGTAGCGTGAAAGCTTTGGTCATCTTCATCATCTAACATATTCATGTTAGATGTGAACGTGGTCCTTGGACGGACTACGAAGTGCTACCAGGTGTGACGGGGCACCCTCAAGCTTGTACTGGTGACAGTACAAGCTACTTATTCTGACGACAGAATAAGGCGGTGCCTCGGAACTTCACGTACACTCGGACGTGCAGAGGAAGACGGTAAGAAGAAGCGATTACTTGGTCAAAGTAAAAAGTAGAACTGTATTTAGCATAGTTAAAATCTGTTAATCAATCACTATTTATCCTCATCTAACTATGTCTGAATACAAATGTGCATTTCAACTATCTGCTCACCACTCATAGCGTGCGTCTGTCGTGGCACGTACTCGTTGGTTGATATAATGACCTATATCAACCAATTAGGAACTACTCGTAAGTGCTGCAGAATATTTGTCCTTATGACAATATTCTGAGAATATAACTCTTCTAGTTATATTCTATTAACAATTTCTTATAAATTGTTATGTAACGATTCACCCCGTTACAGACGCGGATTCTCACTTCGACGATCGAGCATGGTCGATTCACTAAACAAAGAGCACGTGACACTAGCGATACATAATGATACACTAAATTCTTCTGCATGTGTTTGTGCAGCACGTGTTGAAACACTTCACCACAGACTTCGAGAGAAAGAGTCTTGGAAGACTAAAGCAAGCAGAGACTGCTCCGGTAGGCGTCTGTACAGGTCTCTAACAGCTCATATCTCTACAAAGAGCTCACGAGGTGATGCACGATGCACAGAAGCTGTACTGATAGAAGAGGGTGTGGCGTCAAGTCATCTTGTACCGACAAATCCAATAATGCATAGGTTAAGCATATAGCGCAGAGAGACTAGCGAGTCGATGTCTATCTACACGTAAAGGAATGTAATCCTAGCGTGGAAACCCTGCTAAGATGTTCACTACCCGCGTTAAATCCACGAAATTTCGTTGATTGTAAGTACTGTAAGGCGAGCTTGGCATCTAGTATGTAATGGAGTCTACTCAGTCATTTCATCAATATTTAGGTACTTCTTTGTGCTTGGTTTGCCCATCCGAAGGATGAATGCTACGGAGCTTTCGTGCGACCGATAAACCTCATGCGGAAGCGGCTGCTTGCTTCCTTCCCGTTCAAGAATGCAAAGAGTGTCGAGCCCATCAAAAGAACCGCATTCAAACCTTTTTGCCGGTAAACAGTTTAAACGAGAAACTGGTGTCGATTTCAGTAAATAATTTCGTGATACCTCATTAGCCCGATCAATTCCAAGCGCACTGTAGATGTAAGAAACGGTTCAACGTTCCAAATAGCCCTCTTTCATCGATTCACAACCGCAACGAAAGACAGTCCCAAATTGCAACTACTTCTTTGATTTGAATACTATGTATATAATGTGTCAGTGTTTACGAATAGCTGCGACCCATGAGAGCGGAAGAAGAACCGAGTACATGTGATGGGTCACGGCATTAGCGGGTTTTCAATGCTCACGAAAGTCAAAGACTTGAGCAAGTTCTCCATACCGTCCATCGCATGTCTGATTGCTTCCATCGAGCTCGCGTATGAAATACGCATGCCGAACTCGTCGCCGAACTCCGAGCCAGGCACCACAGCAATATGCGAATGATGCAACAAATGCGCACAGAAGTCATCGACGCTCGCAAGCGACACACGCTTGTTTGCAGTGACCACCTTCTTGCCTTCGAAGTAAGACGACAAGTCCACAAATACATAGAACGCTGATGTCGGGTACGCGAAGCGCACGTTCGGCATGGCAGTCAGTCGCTTGACGATGTAGTGGCGTTTCAGATTCAGGTTCTTCATTACCGGTGCAATACGCCGTTCACCCTTCTCCATACACTCCAGCTCCATTGTCAGTGCCTCCACAGCAGCCACCTGGCCCACGGTATTTGGACACGACGTCAGCTGAGCCTGCAACAGTGTACAAGGATCGATGAAATGCTTGGGTGCCGCGAGGTAGCCGACACGTAAGCCGGTCATAGCATGTGCCTTGGAGAATCCGTTCACCAACAGTGTTCGCTCGTACATCCCCGGCAGAGCGGCAAAGCTCATGTGCTTGCGTTCCGGCACGCCTTCGTCTTGGTACAACAACTGCTCGTAGATCTCGTCAGACACCACGACGATATGACGGAACTGTGGCTTGCGCAATACAGCCGCGATTCTCTCCAGGTGCTGCGGGCTGTGCAGCGTGCCCGACGGGTTGCTTGGGTTGCATAGGATGATGACCTTGGCGTCTGGGTGTGCCATCAGCGTCTTTTCCAGCGTCGCCGGGTTGATCAGATAGTTATCCTCGAGCAGCGTGCGTAAGGGAATGGGTTCTGCGTACACGAGCTTGACGATCTCCGGGTAGTTGAGCCAGTACGGTGTCGGAATGATCACCTTTTGACCAGGCTGGCAAACGGTATACAGAGCCTGAAACACCGACTGTTGCGCGCCGTTCGATACCAACACTTGCGTGGCTGGATCATACTTCAGACCTTTGGCCTTCTCCAGGTACATCGAGATGAGACCGCGTAGCTCTGCGATACCTTTCATGTGTGAGTATTTTACGTTGCCCTCGATCATGGCCTTGGCACCTGCAGCCAACACGTGGTCATGCGGATTGCAGTCGGGCTCGCCCACGCATAGCGACCACACCTTCTTGCCTTCGGCCTCCATTTGCTTGGTCTGACCGTGGATCAGCATGGTTTTGGCAACCGTCACCTTCTGGAACACGGGGTTCAACGGGTACTTGCTGTCCATGGTGGAGATGGTGTCGGTCTCGAAGCGGCTGCTCTCTAGCGACAGATTTTCCACCTTTATGGCCTTCTCACCCCGCGACATAACGTAGGACCCCAGGATACGCACGAATGAGCAGACTTCCCTCATTCGCCAAATTGCAGCGGCCATGTTTGCGCCCGTGAGATGACCTTGGAAATCGACGTAGAAGAGGTACTTGTATTTGCACGAGTCCACGACTGCCTCGCCTCCATACTGTTGCAGAGGTTGGCCGTTCCATGGACGACTGTCGATTTTAATCAGTTCCAGGTCGAACTGTGTGAAGGCCTCAAGTGCACGGTTCAGCAAGCCCTTGGCCGAGTTGTTCTTGAAACCGAACACCATGGACGTCTTATAGTCGCCGATGTCGGTCTTCGCATTCCACGCCAAGTCCTCTGTCTTGGAAAGCAGCAGGAACCGTGTGTAAGGGGCGATGTCGACCGCTTGCACCGAAGTGAACCCCACCTTCGGCAGATCGTACTCGCCAACCACATGCAGATCGTACTTGAGCAGCAGATCGTAGTTGGTGTGGATGCTGCCGAGCGCGGACGTCTCGATGGGCACCACGGCGAGGTCGACCTCTTCGTTCTTGAGGGCAATGCACGCGTCCTTGGCGGACTTGTAGACGACACCCGAAGCCGAGTTGTCCTCAAAATGACGTGCGACTCTCTCGGATCTGCAGCCTGCGTACGCGATCTTGAGTTTTGCTCCCATAGCTTTGACTCAGCGGTTCTGGACGTTGAAGAAGTTGGTTGCTGTAGACGCGAAGAAATTGAAAATGAGCATTTACCGGCACGACCTTCGCAGCGTCTACGGACGAGGTACTTGGAGTGAAACCACGTTGAAGATGCGTGGGCAGCTAGGCCACACTTTTGGCGTAAGACGACGACCAATTTGTCGGTCTTCAACATAGCGAAGACGTCCCGGCTGCAGCAACCAAGCAATCGATTGGTCGCGTGGTGGATACTATCATTTTTTGTTCCACTTGTGTGACCTCCACATTGAACAGACCATACATCCAGCAAGCATGAATGCAGCCAGTCTTTACAAGCAAGCACGATTGTGTAGATGTCCAAACAAGACGCTGGGAACCCAAGATCTGGACAAGGCACCGGACCTACTCACCGATACTCTATAACGTCGCCTGGCTCATCTTAGGCGAAATAATAAAACTCTGATTCGCAATTTTCGGGACGAGCCAGTGATGCCTCGTGGGATCGAGCTCCATCTCCCTGGATTGCCCCGGTTCCCACGGTTGAAAACCGTACGTCAACCTCATGCTGCTCTCTGCATGGCCCAAAATTTGGATCGACGTGCAAGAGATTGTCACCAACACGCTGGACGCAAAAGCATCGTCTGCAGACGCTGCCGAATTCAACAACAGTGACAAACAAGGCACAAAAGATAGAACGCGCAAGGTCTTCCCGTCGTCCTTGCGAGCTTGCGATGCGTTTCCAGGTATTCCTGAACAGAGGGTGTCCTGCGACGGCTTTTGATGAGTCCCCGACTTCGTTTCCCGCGACAGGTGTCGGCTCACTCGTTTCTTTGTCAAGGTCGCGACAAGGTCTTGGAAAGACTGAAATGGTGTCGCTGGTTGCGGCAGAAGTGGCACGTACGTGTTTGTCTGGCTGCTGGATATTCATTTTCGCCAGGCAATTGTAGAACCCGAGAAACGACGTCTTGGCCCGATGCAGCACCCTTGCTGATTGACAAATATCAGTATTGTCTTTTTCTGTCAACTGGAGGGCATCGAGCCTTTCGGTAGACGGTGCAAGGTAGCGTCAATATTATGTCCCTAAGCACTGAACCCACACGGATACATTCGATGCAGGTGTTTCGCAGCGCATTTGCTCCAGAAAAGACTGCGAGGCACAATGTGGTACGATCGAGCGTTTGCAAATGACGAATTAATGCCGAAACGACTTGGTTGTGCAACCTTCTGAACACTGCTTGTTTTCCCGGTTAGTTTCAGATATGACGAAATCGGACGTTTCTGTGGTCGTCAAAGCTGCAAGAGCAGTCGTTTCAGACGCACCTTGTGCAAGGGGTCGGTTCAGCACATCTGCTATGATTGGGTTAAGCTCTGTGGTCGGGTGTGACAGCAGCTTCTATTTGCGCAAATATGATCGGGAGGACGTCATTGCCGTTGTGTGGCGTACCGCGAGCTCGTAGTTCGATCATGTTCCTTGGATGTTTGCACTCTGTCGATCGTAAGTAATTTTGAGACACGAAGCATAGCCAATGTGATGAATAGTAGTGTACTGTGACACGGTGCCATCCAGTGCTGAATTAGAAAAAATCGCCGACCTTTTTGAACATGTCGTCCTGCCCAGCTTTTAGATACGCCCTGTGCGGTCAGTTCTATCGCAATAACTGTCATGTTTACATCTATTCATCGTCCTTCTTTTTGTCATCATGTCTTATCAGTTTAAAGAGTCTTTAGCTCATAGAATGTATCAACAAAGACTCGGAGAGTCTTTAAGCTCGTAGAGATTCTGGTCCTGGTTCAGGGGACTGACAACGATTCTAAGAATCGAACGCATAATTTGCTCTAGAATATATGCCTCGAGCTGACTCTTACTCATAACGATCTACTGACATCTAAAATGGACACGTGTCAACCTAAAATTAAAAGAAGACCTAAACTTGTATTTCTTAGATTCAGCTGAAGTAAACCTCATTCAACTACCTAAAACCAAGTTTAAACTAATTCGCATAGCTATCTTTAGTCTGTTTAAGACTGATGAATGGTACATCGATATGTCATCAATAGATGACTGAGGTTATCAAACCACATCAGTTATCACAGATAAAACTTGGGATTGTATATCGAATATACACGGTAGATCCTTTTAAGGCGGTACCTGTCGTGTGTGACTCATGAGCGATGTGGCTCATCACTCCCGTGCGATGAATACGGATGGGTCACATTCTTTTTCATGTATGGTCTCCAGCCCACAACCTCGACCTTTGATGAAGAAATAAAGCATCAAATGTTTTTATGATCCACGTTAACATATTTGCTACAGCTCTTCCTATCTCACTGACTAACTTTTTTTGACTGTGTCTGGTGCGACTATAATCGTCATCAAGTCTACACAGGATAATACAGGCCAACTTGGGATAGATGGCATTGCACGCACAGCATGCAGACTCTCTTCTTCACTACTAGGAAAAGAGAAATGGATTCGAGTGACTGTGCAGCAAGGTAAGGGCATCGACCGGCTACTAATAGACCCATGGAGCTTGTCGAAACTTCACACGATTCGGCCGCATGGGCACATAAAATAGAATCCACTTGATGCTTATGCGGACAGTATTGACAGTTACAGATTTCTGATCACTGTCTGTCACGTGAGCAACGATTATTCAGCAATATAACTACAATATGAAGCAGGCATTAGCATTTGCATCAAGGGTGACATCGAGGATTGAGGTCCACTTAGTTGTAGATGGTTTGGACGCCGTATTATATAACATACAAGTCACATTGGTTGCCGTCGTTGTCCATCCGCTACACCGTAAAAATCGAGTTGTATCGTTATATATTATCTTGTCTGCATGCGTATGCTACAGCTAGCACCGCGCGAGTTGGAACAAAATGATAATATGATCAGAGTAAAAATGCTGTTACAGTGCTTGTCGCCTATAACTATGTGTCTTACAACATGATAAGCCGGTACTCCTTCATGTAACATGCCAAGCGCTTTAGCATAATTCTGACGGCTCCACGAGCTTATATTTCAGGGATACTCTGGTGAGCACTTGTAATACATTTTATAGCTACCGTACAAAGCATAGCTCGGTAAACTCCGTCCAATCTGGAAACCTTTCGTAATTATGTCATACCCTATTGCACGAAGCAGCGGCGTCAGGAAGACTTCCCGGTCTACCTTCACATGTGTTTATCTACCACGCAACTTGCACGATTTTCTTTCATCACTTTTCCTATCCGTTTCCATAACAATGTATCTACTCCGCCATAGCTGTGGCATCGTACGAAATGAAATACTCATCCGAATTAAGAACATTCGGCGATCTCGGCGTACTGTGCAGTCTTGTATGCTCGTACTGTTAGCCAATGAGTTACGCTATCTCTATTATTTAATATACTCCGAGAAAAACCTTTTTGCATTCAGATCAAAGTTCCAGATTGGGCGCCCATATCCACGCCCACGCCTATGCTCATGGGTGCGACCGACAATGGGTGGGTGGGTGTGGGTGGGCAGGACGTTGCAAGCTTATATAATGGCAAATGCTAAACGGCTGGGTTTTATATGTGGCTTTTGTTTTTATGTAATTTCAGGAATAACCCAGAAGTACGCCTAATTTAGTAAGAAACAGATTCCAACTATGTTCAATTGAATGCTGAAACTAACTAACTCACTTGTAATGGAAAAGTTTAAACCAAGGATAATAGTTTTAGGCTAATATCCAATCTAGTCCTATTCCACTCTGCTTGCGCTCGCTTCCGACAAAGTTTCGTTTTTCGACGCCATATTGGGTGCGATTGCTCACTTTGACAACAATCCTCATAGTGAACCACGTTCATTGAATCATGATGCATCAGCGTAATCGCGACGCTCATGAGGGGTGGTTTCTTACGCCTAATATTATTGGTGGCGTGCTCATGAATACATGGCAACCACAACAGCGATCACCGCGATTCCATTATGTTGTAATCGTCGCAGTTGGCTCTACAATCAAAAATTCGCGATGTAAAATCAGACGTGGATGTCATTGATTGCTGTTTGGTCGCAAATATGCAAACTTCAGTGTTTGAGATCTCGTGGAGAGCTTTCGATAGCGTCGGGAGTTGGTGATCGGACTACAAACTAAACTTGCCCAACAATAGGTCACTGTACGTCTTATGTAGATCGTGGAGATATCTCAAGAAGACCCATTTCGCTAGTGGGTCACTACAGGTCACTTTTTGGGGGGCTAGTCGATTGACGATACAACAACATGAGCATCAAATGAAAGTTTCTTTTACTTTACACCTAAAAACGACCCAGCCGGAAAAAAATAAAACAGCCGTGTAACATTGCCTACATTATTCAGCACCATACTTTGTAATAACTTTATTTACTACAATGTAAGAGGCTTTTTTGTACAGTATGAATCCAGGAATAAACTGGGAAAAAGGATTAGGTGTTCGTTGGTGGGTGCACTAAATCTAAATAATGAATGGGTGGGCGTGAAAAGGTTTATAGCCTATGAATCGATGCGGCACACACCGATAGGTAAATCCATTGTAGAGGTTCTACATCCCGTAGCACTCTTCACAAAACGCTATAAGCTTGCCTCCACTTGATTAGTTTAAGGAAAATATTTTGGTGCGTAAGCGGCTACAGCTTTTACAAGATCGGTAACGCCCCTGCCACCCTATTCGTCGCGTCCCAATGAAACCGCATTGATGGTAAATATAGCGGGCACCGCACTGATGGACTTTGACTTCGCAAGAACATTGTTGTTTTTCGCCTTGAGTGCTACGATCTTGTCTACAAAAGTATGTGATTATAAGTCGTGTAAAAGTCTTAAATGACTTTTGCGACCCCTTCGTCGTCGCGGTGCTTTGCTGGATGATTTTAATTGTCATGCAAAGAAGTACGAAGGTTTGATAAATTCTGGAGGCTTAAAAGGATAACGTGACTGTAGAAGGGTCGTTTGTGAATGTAGCAAAATTCATGATAAAATGGGCGGGCTAATCCGTACTCTGAATGTATCTATTCCGTACTTCAAACGCGTTTTTGCGGACAGTTTATTCGATTGGAGGCTAAATTTATGGATGGGGCTGGACACATTAGCCATCATCAAATTCTTCAGCATCTATTTCTTCTCGATTTGGTCTATATAAACGCCCCGGTCTTGCCGCGACGTCCTCAAACTTTGCATTTGTCCATTCAATAAATATTCATGGCGGCTCAATCCAAGTTTAGACTATACTGGAATCGGCACTGCTCATGCACACAGCCGCAAGTCTTAAGACAAGACGAGAACTAGGGCGCGACGGGACGCGTGACGTCTCTGGGTATATCGCGTTATCATTAAAACGTTTTACCCTTGGCTAGAGACGCTTTGGAGACTATAAAGATCAGTCGAGTGGGGCAACAAAAAAGGCGGAAACAAATTAGGAGGAGCTCGTGACGCACGGTATGGCTTTTTATCATGAAAGATTGGGTAATGTAGTGGTTATTGGGCCACATCTGGAGGAAGAGTTGGTTGTAGCCACGTAATCGATACGAGTTGTACTGAGCCTTTATGACTCGCATGTTGTTACAATTTGCTTAGAGAAAACAGTTAGACAAGTTCTGTGTAAACGTCGGCGCCGACGTCACAAGCGTCTGGATCACTCTCAGCCATTACTGAAGAATCGATATCCCTTCTCGCTTGGCCAAAAGACACGAAATAACTACATTATAAGGTGTCTAAATTGATAGTATGGGGACGCGTGTGATCAACTATTTTATAAGATTTATTTTAACGATAAATCTAGAATAATTCTTAGATTTCCTGTATTGCTCTCGTGCCGCACCACCAGTTCCTTCACTCCACCTCCCGACCTTAACGAACCGCCACCAGTACCCGATGACAATTTTAGGAGCAAAACAAACCAAAATGACGGATAGCATCAGCATTTTTTTGTAAAAATCACACATCAACCCCAAAGCTGACCCAGCTCCAACTGCTTACCTGACTCTAAGAAACCTACAACATCGAAGTGATCCAGTCTACTGTATCTAACACGCTCAAGCGAAAAGTTGAATTTTTAAAGCTCGAAATTGATGTATACGCAAACAGCATGCAACACCGAACATGCAAGCGTCCTTTGAAGGAATCTGTACTGGACTGTTAGTTCAATTTCATCAGGCGAAAGTAACTCTGATCGGTAAAATTGTGTGCAAGACTGCTAAGATTTCTTGACCGTAATTCTGGCGTCTTCTGTGACAAGAGCTTCGATAACGCCTCTGCTGCAAGTAAATACAAATGATGCGATTGTAAGACGGTGAGCGTTCATTGAGATCATTCATGATGTAGTTTACTACTACGCGCAAACAAGAATTCACAGACCTGTACTTAAGCACTGTTGTTCTTAAGCAGTTCTTTTAGGATTAAGTACCGCTTTTTGCCCAGATCAATTGAATTTACCTTGGGCTTGACAAAGAACAACATGACCAGCACCGTGCAGAGCGCACATGAGATGATGTACACAACGCCAAGGAACAGATTTTTTGGAAACACTGTGGCAGATATCACGATTGATTTCTTGCCCTCGAATGATCGTATCGTAAATTCTGATAACATAGTACACAATCTTTAAAGTCAGAATTTGCCCGCTACATTCTTATACGTATCAAAACGACACGTCAAAATCACTGCTGGAATTGGGAAACTCAGAATTCGTGGGGCGTATATTCGGCAGTCTAGCCGCATACAATTAGAAGACAGAATGCTCGTCTTGTACTCCTTAGCAATAACGCCAATCGTCCATTCCGTCTTGTTGACAACATATGTTTGACCCTCGTACATGGAGTGGTGTAGCGGAGGCAACAATTATGTTGATTTATGATGCTCTTTCATCATCTGCTCTTTGTAGAAGTAGCTGAAAGCAAAAATAAAAAACAAATCCAGTATTAAATTTTCTACCTTGTCAATGCTACGGCTTGTACCTGAACTGCACTGTAATTTGACCTTGTACTTGTCCAATGTTATTCTTCCTTCCTGCTCATCTCATACGGTGTTCCCACGTTGCAACCGTGTCACCTTGTCCCAACTGTCAGGTTGCCATCTCGCTAACCTATTCGTCAAGTCATCTACTTGCATCTCCTTGTCTCATCTGCCCGATCGCCTCATCGTGGTCCCATGTGTCACCTGATCTGACCACTGGCCAATCAGGTAAGACCGTAACATGGTATATCTCTTAAGCATTGAAGCCTGTCAGACATGATAGGTTGCTGACACTTCTTTTCCGTGTCATCCTGTGTATCCTTCACCTTAAACATCGCTCGCAAATCTTTCATTCTTGGCCCCAACAGTGCCTTTGTTAGCATGTAGGCCACCATGTCGTGCGACCTCACAAATCTTGGTAGAAAAATTCTGCCTGCCCATGATAAAAGATAAATTTGAGCCAGAGATCCACGTGGTTGGCGTTTGAGGTGATTTCTCCAGCTTGAGCTGATAATTGGTGATTTGGTTTTGGATCACATCGGCATAGGTTCGTGCACGCGCATCCTTAGCTCGTTCAGCAGTTCCTTTGTGCCTAGTAGCTAACGTTCGTCCTGCGAAGCTAAGATGAGCTCAGCTTGTATCGTACTCAAAACACTTCTAATTTCTTCTTGCAAAACTATAGACTACCAGCACCATCTACGATTGGCGCAAAATTCTACGCAGACTTGTGATCAGCCTTGTTGGAGACGAAATATGCATCGCTCCAACACTCGATCGGCACGTCCTCTGACGTTGGCCCAACACCGATTAAGTGCAACGTCAGATAATTCGGTATCTTCAAGTATCACACGATACGCTTTGATTTATTCCAGTCCTTATCAGCTGGCTTTTGCGTCTGCCTTGTGACCTTGTGCACTGCGAAGCTTAAGTATAGACGTTTACATCTTTTAAACCATTGTAAGCTTCCCACCAGCGACTGAAACGACGTTAAGCTTTGATTTTTCTTTTCTACCTTTACCGGTAGGTATTCCAGATTGCGCTTATCATCCATATTGAGCTCGTACCCAGTAGAAGTTCACACAACGTTCGATGAATCCGACCCTAACTCCTTCAGCAACCGTCCCTAACTCCTTCAGCAACAGGTAGATCAATATCTCTTAGTCCAAGTTTTACATATATTTGATTCATTCGGTTGAATTTGTAAGCTCAGAAACCCGTTTGTGACCCTTCCAGTCCTTGATAGACAATGATCTCATACTATCAACAAACTTGTTTAAGGTGCTAGTATAGGCACAAGTCTGTCGTACATTGTTAAAACCCACCTTATCGCAGCTTGGGGTCAAGTAACTTTCTTTGCAACCGCCCAGCCTGTTAAAGTCCACACAGTAACTTTTTAACAGTAGCGCCGATTCTCTCGATGACTATGCTCCCTGACTTTCTTGCTGTCTTTCGTCCAGGATCAATTCTCCTTCGGCACCTTCATGTCGACGTCTAGGTGCTCCTCTCTTTTCACCCTGAAGTAGTCATTTGGTACGTCACCGTGGTGTACCGGTACGTTCCATAGTCAAGAGAGCACTAGGTTCAACTTCACCATGCCAAAATCCATGACGGCCGCGAACGTAAGCGCATAATCCACATTGAAAAGTGCTCGTTTGCACAGCAACCAAACGATCCTATTACTGTTCGATTTGTCTCCGTTTGTAACCGTCTTGGTCTTGTAAACCCACTTGTTGGATAGGACATGCACACCCTTTGGTTACATCAACACCATCCACACGTCATTTAACTTCGAGGCGTCCAACTCTTCAGTCATCTCAGTAATATATTGTTCTCGTTGCTCACATTTGACTGCCTTTTTAAAGTCGTTTGGGTCTTGCACCACGATTGCATTTAACACATCTTGTAGCTAAGTAAAAACTTCAGTCATAGGATACTAAGCAGTTTTCTTGTTGACCTTTTACCATGTCGTTTTCTTGTCCATCCGGACCTTCTGCCTTTACAGTTTTTTAATGATCCTTTTCTTGGCACTTGGTGGTACTTGAACAATTGATTGATCATCACTGAATGACTCCTCCTGCCAGTTGGTCCTCTCCAAGTAGTAGTTGAGATGTCCGTTCTGCCCTTCCGTCAGTGTTTCAGTTTCCGTACAAATTGCTTAGCCACAACCACCTTGTGATGATGTACAGCTTGCACCTCTTCGTCTCATCACTTTTGACGGTGATTATGAAGCGTTCACCCTATCCCTAAGTGACTTGTTTCCAGCATTGATGTGCACCGTGCATGCTGGACCGAGCTCCACGATGTTGTTCAGCATAGTACCGTTCTTAGTCACAGACTCTTTTGGTTATAAACCACCAGGATTTGACTTGGTTTGACTTCTGTTTAGGATGTAATTCTCATACTCATCAGCATCGCCCCAAACAGACAGCGGAAGGTTTAAAGCGAATTCCATGCTTTGTCTAACGATTGCTGGCTTTGTTTTCTGGCTCTGCTCCCTGAACGCGATATGATCTTCACATTTCAAAACATTAATAATGTGTTGTATTCATCAACACCGTTCATTTTTAGCACGTGGATCATGCAATAAAACACGCATCCTTCCTTGCTATTCTAGTGCGCACTCTTTGGACTCGAGCTTACCATACGAAATGGTATTGCGCTCGAGGTTCGCGGCAAAATGAGCGTCGAGGATTCTAATGGTGTTTACGACATTTAAGTGCCACGACTGCAACGTCTACACTTTATTGCTTGGTGACATGTAGCACGTCTCCATAGGTAGATGCAGCAAGCATTCGCCATGACAGTCCTTCGGGTTAACCATCAGACTTAAGTCGTTGACTGTAACGGGGCTAGAATGACCCGTACTTAGCCTACACTATTTCTATTGCTTTGAGGAAGCTTAAAGCTCAAGTCTTAGGTATTAAGTATTTTTAACTCTGTTTATATTTTTGTCTTTTCAATCATCATAAGTACGAATGGTACCTTGGACTCATGGGAACCACTCAATCTACGTGCCTATATCTTACTGGCTAATAATGGTACTGAGCCCATTAAACCAGCAAAAATATACGACGTGCTACTTTCGCTACTCCGAAAGTAACACCCCTACTTAAGTAACATGTAAACTTAATTGAACCTACTTATGTAACGGGGTGGCCCATTACATCACCCCCTTCTCGAGACAGCACTCACGAACCGTGAGTGCTCAACCACAAGACCCAACGACGCACAAGCCAAACGATGACTGAAGACGCAGACGCCAACACCACAGCACTCCCGCGCACAATCAGCGGGAGTTTAGTCGACCACGTGATGGATCGGCACCTGATCCCTTGGGCGCTGTATGATTTGTCCGGAGCTCGAGCTCCGTACTCTCTCGAAACGATGCAGGACTACTTCCGGCGTTTCCGTGGGTTGCGTGGAAAGAGTCTTGATGGCATCTCGTACGAGTCGCTCCAGCGGTCATGGTGTGCGTTCATCCGGCGGTGGAACCGGATGCTTGAAGACGGAAGAAACTTTCAGCAGTGGCTGGCCAATCGTGAAGATATCCACGCCGATCATTCCATCGGTGTACTGCGCGAGAAGATCTGTGAAAACGCATGGAACGTAGATCGACTCTGCTACGTTCACGTGCACGTATCTTGTTATTCCTGTGACTCGTTGCCTCGTCCAACTCGCGAAGCTTGGCAACGACACGTCGCTGAGTATCCACTCAGCGAGTATGAACAGCTCTGGATCGGACGATACAAGCGCAGCTTGATGGAGCGCAAGACTGCGGTTAATCGTGGCGCGTCACGCTGGCGACACCACTCGCGCTCTCGAGGTCGTGGTGCCATGCACTCGCCACGACGTTCTCGTTCGCGTGATCGTCGCGATACACGCTCGTCGCGACGTTCTCGTCGTCGCTCTTCATGTCGTCGTCGTGGTGAAACGTCACCACGACGTTCTCGCAATCGCTCTCGGTCTCGTAGTCGTGGTGACACTTCACCACGACACCGTCGTCGTGCATCTCGTTCTCGCTCACCACGAGAACACACAGGTCGTCGACCAAGTCTGCACCAAGCGTGTGCAGGGACTCGTAAGCCCGAACGACGTCCGGAACGTCTCGAAGAAGAGAAGAGCGCGGTTCCCACGTATCCTGCTCGGGTGGGAACCCGAGCCAACGTACACGATACTTGCGCGCGGTTGGAACCGCGCGCTCATGGTGTCGCGACGATGTCGTTTCGCGACGATGTCGTTTCGCGACGAGGGTCCTCGTGACCCAGTAAACGCTCCACAATCCAGCGCTTCTGGCCTTCCACGTCCACAAGCGGTGGTGGACCCTCACGATGGTACTGCTGGCGTCCTGGTTGCCCAGGACGATGTAGATGCGGCTGTGAACAAGGCTGTTGATGCCCAGCTGGAGGCTGAAGCTGCCATTGACCGAGCTGCGCGGGCTGAGAGAACAGCGAACGAGATTCGACAGTCGAACCGCGAGCTGCTTGAACGGATGCGGAACCTGGAACACCAGGTTCTTGGGCACGCGCAGACTGGGACGCAGCCGCGTCCGATGTCGCTGGCGCGTCGAGCAAGGCGAGAGGGAAGGTCGACCTATGAGCCTTTGACTCCGAGGACGGAGCCAACCCGTGAAGCGTAGCTGGACGGTACTCCTTGAGCCGCCCGACGTAAAACGTCGGGTGAAGTCGCAGTGAAGAAGGGATGGCCAGCGTGTATGCGTCGCCGATCGCCTTGAGTACCGTGAATGGTCCGATGAAACGTGGCTCGAGTTTGCTCGCGCCTAGATTGTTACTGCTGAATCTCGTAGGCCTTCGGTAGTTAACAATACACGATCAACCTTCTTGAATGTGCTCGTGTTCTTTCTTCCACGTTTGTCTGCATTCGATTTCTGTTTATCCACTGCAGATCGAAGAGTATCGCGTACAAACCTCGTGATGGCTTGACGTTGGAGTATAAACTCTGACACAGCCATGTCATCAATTGTTCGCGCCAATTCAATCGGCGCGTAGTTAGCTTTAGGGTTTCGCATACTCGAAGAAGGATCGATCAGCGTCTGTGCAGTCCATTGAGCGAGCGGGGACGCCACGTCACGTGGCGTCGAAACAGAAGACTTCGCCTTGGAATGGTTGACAACATTCGCGCTCAGAATACCGTGAGATTCACTCGATCGTTGTTTATCGTTATCACCTTCCGCCAGAGTGGAGCCACGAAGAGCCGTGGACTGACCCACGGCAAGAAGAGTAGGTACACGAGGATGACGGGCCGAATTTGCAGAAAAAGGCGTCAACCCCGTTGACGCGTGAACCGCGTTGTTTAGTGCAAACTCCGCGAGTGGCAAAAACGCACTCCAACTTGTAAAGGACGTTGCGTAACTTCGAAGAACATCTTCGAGGACCCGATTAACTCGCTCTGTTTGCCCATCCGTTTCCGGATGGGCTGCTGTCGACATTTGCAGCTTTGTGCCAAGCAACTCGAACAATGACGTCCAAAAAGCAGATGTTAAACGAGGATTACGGTCCGAGACAATGTTGTCTAATAGACCGTGATGGCGAAACACAGTGTCAATGAAGTGCACCGCGGTCTCAGCCGCGGTGATCGTTGCATGAACAGGCACCAGATGTGTCATCTTGCTGAATCTGTCGACAAAGACCAGAATACCCGTTCGGTCTTGGCCATCTGGTGCAAGCTCGAAGATAAAATCCATTGAGACTGAGCTCCAAGCCTCAGCTGCAATTGGCAGGGGTCGCAGGGGTGCCTGTGACGATGGAGATGGCTTCACGCGCTGACATATTTCGCAGGTGCGAACCCAGTTGCGAACCTATTTGTACATGTGGGGCCAGAAGAAGTCACGCGAGACAGCCGCGAATGTCTTTTCGCGGCCCAGATAACCGCCAATTGGGGCATCATGGTACTCGTGGATGATATGAGCACGCAAATCGAAGTCATTCGCAATCACCGTTCGAGGTGCATCGAATTTGTCGATGCTATATAACAGCAAATCACCGTCCATACTGTATCTTTGAATGTGATCACGCTTCGTTCGCGAAAGAGCTCCCAGTGCAGCCTCACTGGGAGCGCGCAGATAGGCGATAATGTCCGCGTAATTCGGGTCGTTCGCGTAAGCCGCGACAATTTCATCGATAAGGCATAACTCGGGTGTGACCCGAGTTAGATTCAACGACACACACGTCGCACATCGATCGTCTTCATCTTCGTCGTGAGTTGCCTGACGACTCAGTGCCATACGAGGATCGTAATTTGGGCGTCGTGGCAGTGCGTCAGCAAGAATGTTGGTCTTGCCTGGCTTGTAGTGCACGACGAAGTTGTACTCGGAGAAGAAAGAGAGCCACCGTGCCATCCGCTGTGACAGGTGTGGGCTCTTCATTGCTGTTCGCAGCGATGCATGATCAGTATACAGGGCGAACGTGCGTTCGCCCAGTAGGTGGACACGAAACTTGATTAGTGCATAGCGCATCGCTAGCAGTTCCTTATCGTGAACCGGATAGTTCTTCTCTGCCGGCTTCATCTGTCGTGACTGGTAGCTCACGACTCGTTCACGGCCCTCATGATCGAACTGCATGAGGGCGCAACCAATTGCAAAGTCACTTGCATCACACACCACGTGAAACGGCTTGGTGTCGTCAGGGAGTATTAACACTGGCGCCGACGCCAGGCTCTTCTTCACTGCGTCAAAAGCTGCTTGATGTTCGGGACGCCACGACCACGTGGCGTCTTTCTTCAGAAGTGACGACAGGGGCTGTATAGAAACGGCGTAATCCTTTGTGTACTCATGCAATTAATTAGCTAGACCGAGCCATTGACGTAACTCCGTAGGGTTCTTGTGTGTGGGCCAAGAACAGATTGACGACACCTTCTCTGGATCGGCTCGAACACCCGATTTACTCACGTAGCAGCCCAGCACCGGAATCTCCGGTGCACAGAATACACACTTCTTCAAGTTTGCATATAACTTGTTATCTCGCATGACTTGAAACACCTGCTTCAGGTGTTGAAGGTGAACTTGGACAGCACTGAGGTTGCCCTCAGCGCGACTGTGGACAAAAATGTCATCGAAGAAGCTAAGAGCAAAGTCTCGAAGCGGTCTCAACACTTGAGATACCATGCGATTGAAAGTGGCTGGTGCGTTCTTCAATCCTTGTGGCATCACCAGCCACTCCCATAGCATACCACTCGGAGTGGACACCGCAGTGAGTGGTTTGTCACTCTGTCGCATCAAGATATGGTAGAAGCCATCGGTTAGATCGATGGCGCTGAAGATGACGCTACCTGACATGGAGTTTAGAACCATGTCTTTCCTGGGGATAGGCGTTTGGGCAGGAATAGTGGCATCGTTGAGCTTGTTAAACGCATGCACTATACGCCAGCCTCCCGTAGCCTTCTTCACGCAGAAGGTTGGGCTCGAATGGAGTGAGACGCTCTCACGCACATGACTGGCCTTGCGACGACCTTCGAAGAATGCATCAATAGCCTCGACTTGGTCTCGAGGCAACGGCCACTGGCGTGTCACACAATATTTCGATCCTGGCACGAGATCAATCTCGTGCCGCACGCCACGATCGGCAGGGAGTTCGGCCGGAATCTTGTCCGGGAACACGTCGGCGTACTCTCGTGCAATGTCGTAAACAGGGTTACCAGACTCGCGCAGAGCCTCCCAAGATTGCGACGCAATCTTTCTTCGCGCGCTGACTTTTGCTCAGCGCTTCGAGGGCGCGTCATTCGCTCCTCATTCGGCTCATAGGTCACCTCGTTGGTGACCAGACATACTTGTTCCACCGTGCCTCCCTTGAGGTCACGTAGAAAATGCTTCCAAGAGAGTCCTGGAAGGCTCGTAATCGACGACGCGTCGCGAGGTGGACTCGCGACCTCAATGTATTGGCGCATTTGTGGACTCCCGTCCACGTACACAATAGCGTGGACACAATCCAACGCTGAGTTCTCGTAGCTTGCGTCCCCATCGTGCTTCGAGTCCATGCTCGAAGCTGGCGAACCGCATTCAGGTGTTAAATCTGCACCCCCCCTCTAGACGCTGGATGTCCTCATCCAGGACGTCGAAATCGCGTGACGGGAGTAGTCCATACTCGTCCGTCGACGCATGATGCGGGAGCCCCTGCTCTACCGCCACAAACTCGTGTGGGAGCCCCTGCTTGCTCATGTGAGAACCCCTGTTCGACCATCATGTTCGCACGTGGGGACTCTTGTCCATCCACGTCACACTCGGTAGCGAGCCCCTGCTCGGCAAAGCTTGCCCTTGGGAGAGCCTCTGCTCTACCACAATGGGTGCAGGTGGGAACACTTGTTCGTGTTCGACCACTGCTCTCTCGTGCGGAACCGCTGTTCGACCGCGTCGTCGTCGCGCGGGAGCCACTGCTCGTCCGCGTCGTCATTACGCGGGAGCCACTTCTCGTCCACGTCGGACTCCTCGCTGCAAAGCGAGGAGACATCATTACTCGTGCGTAGGGGCACGGAACAAGCGGTACAGAGAGGGCCATCGCTCACTCTGTGTACCGCCGGTGTCGTGGATGTACGATCCACGACTGTAACGTTCGGCCAATCACTTGGAGACACCAAGAGATGGGTGAACACTTCGCTGACGTCGAACTTGCTTCGACGTCTCACTGATCTGGCTAACCAGTCGATCTGGGGCTTATAGCGTGCCAACCATGGCATGCCCAGGATGCAATCGAATGAATAATTCATTTCAATCACCAAGAAATTGTCTTTACTGCGAAAGCCGTCAAACGTGTACGGCAACGACACTTCGCGCCGCGATACGCGGCGTGGTTTCCCGTCAGCGATCTTGACAACAACTTGGCCAGGTCCCTCGTGGATCTGGATGCTGGGTGGCAGCATTGACACGCAAGATTCACGGAAGAAATTGTTTGTCGCTCCTGAATCCAGGAGCGCTCGTAGAGGTCGCCGGATACCGGCGACATGTAGATTAACAATAATCTGGCGTGAATCACCACTCGTAGTGGTGGCATTTGACCGTGCACGCAGCACAGATGGGCTGGGAGGTCGGGCTGCCACCGGTGGACCCGGACCTCCCTTCAAACCAGTAGGGCGCCCTGCACCTACTGGTCTCGTCCATTTTTTGGACGACTGATCGGAGCACCTCCCTTATGATGGGTGTCCGTCGCATGCACCGACATCGGTGCTGGCGCGCGGCATTCAGCCGCGCGATGTCCCGGTTTTCGGCATCGAAAGCAGATCATCTGAAGCTCGCCTCGGACGTCGCCCTTGTAGGCTGTAGCGCGTCTTCGGTCACCCGACGACTCAATTGCATCGATCTCCATAGGTTCCGGGCCCGCTGATCTGACAGTGGTAACAACTGAAGGCTTGGTATAGGCCTTGGTGACTCTGAAGTCCTCACGGAGAGCGATAGCGAAAGCCTCCTCCAACGTGGCAGGCTCTGCTCGTTCCAGCGAGAGGCGAGTCTGCCCTTCACGCATGCCATCGACAAACACGTTCACTTGTGTATACATGTCCATGGGATGCGTGAAAATGCAAGACGCCAGATGTCGAGCCATCTGCACGTAGTCGCGCATGGACATCTTACCCTGTCGCAGGGACAGGAACCTTGAACGCACCAACTTCTCTTCCTGGGGCGGCTCGAAGGCGAGTCGAAGGTCACTCTGGATGGCTTCCAGAGTGGGGAACGCAAACTCGTCAACAACGAGTTTTCCCAAGTCCCACTCCTTGGCTTTCCCAGTGAGACGGGAAAGAAGGAAATTGACCTTCGCTTGAGGAGCCTCGATAAGTCTCGAGGCGATAGCGATATTGATCTCTCTAAACCAACGAGACAACGACAAGCGTTCTTTTCCTTCGCCAGAATAGGCGGAGGTCTCCATCTTCACGGCATCGTTCCGTGAAGTCCGCGAGGGAGTTAAACCTCGCCGATGGGATTCGGCGAGCTCGCGAGCCATGTAGTCGTGTATGGCGAAACGCTGTCCATCAGGAGTCGCTGATCTCATCAGCGACACAACAAATGCCTCTCCAGATATCGCCGCGAGGCGATTTAGGGCATCCCACTCAACACCAGTGAGATGGGGAAAAGTCGCGTGCTCCAGACTCACGTCTGGAGCGTCAAAGTACGACGAATCGCTCATCCCAAACTCGGGCATGGGGGCGGACTACTAAGTGCTACCAGGTGCAACGGGGCTAGAATGACCCGTACTTAGCCTACACTATTTCTAACGCTTTGAGGAAGCTTAAAGCCCAAGTATTCGGTATTAAGTATTTTTAACTCTGTTTATATTTTTGTCTTTTAAATCATCCTAAGTACGAATGGTTCCCTTGGACTCATGGGAACCACTCAATCTACGTGCCTATATCTTACTCGCTACTAATGGTACTGAGCCCATTAAACCAGCAAAAATATACGACGTGCTACTTTCGCTACTCCGAAAGTAACACCCCTACTTAAGTAACATGTAAACTTAATTGAACCTACTTATGTAACGGGGTGGCCCATTACATTGACCAAATGTCTGCTGGATTTATTGTCCAGGATCCGAAGTTTTTCCTGAAGATCGTCACCATTACCGATCACAAGCGTAAATTTCGTCCTTGAAACATTATTTTTGGACTGATTCCCTACAATCTGTTGTGTCCAACTTTGCCGCACGCGTAACACTCGTCACCTTCCTTAAAGTTTGTCTTTGTATTGGCCTTGATTGTATCGTTTGTGTAACGGGGTAGCCCGTTACATGATATTGACACCAAACAGTGTCAATAGGGATATTGTCTAGCGTGACAATCATTCTGCTAATACTATCCGAGATTGATAATATTGAAGGAACATTACCCCCTTTGTAGGATAATATCCGTGCGCTGCTCAAAGATCGGTTGATAAAGACATATCAACCAAGGTTACCGCCAATCGCTGCTAAACGCGCGTAATGAGTGGTGAGCAGATTGTCGTCATACGTCAATGCAGATTAATACAGCTAAATAAAGACTGAAGTCAAATTGATAGCTTTACTATATTAAATGCAGTTCTCTTTTTACCTTTACTTCCGAGTCGTTTACGTAGATTAGCTTCCTCTGCACGTACGAGTATACGTGTAATTTCGTGGCACCCGAACAAATGGTGCCCCGTTACACCTGGCAGCACTTCGTAGTCCTACCAACGACTACTTAGTGTCCGTTCAACATGAACATGATCGACGTAGAAGACGACAGATTTCACGTCACACGTGAAGGCTACTCCCATCTGAAAGACTCAGAATGGGTGGTAGGCGGCCGCATGAGTGTGCTCAAGGGCGAACCCGCCATCAGTGGTATGTTGGAGTCTCTAAACAAAGACCAGCATCATGCTGCTATCAACAAGTTCTTACAAGGGGAAATGGCCGTCGAACGACAGAAGACAGCCTTGCTACAGCAGCAAGGCTCTTATCAGTCGATGGGCGGGCCGACGCACATGCGTCGACCCGAAACATTGAAGATTGATATCTCAAGATACAAGGGAACCGATGAAGATTCCCTTTTGAGATGGCTCGTCGAATTAGACGACGCCATCAGGGCCCGTCACATCGAGGGTGACGAGATGCAAGTCACCTTCACTCTGTCAAATTTGACGGGACGAGCAAAGACTTGGGCCTTAGGGCTCAAGCTTCACGACTCAAACGTGTTTGAGTCGTTGGGGATCTTTAGTCTTGGCTTAAAGAGACGTTTGAGCCGCCGAGAGCCGAGTTCAGAGCACACTCTGCACTCTTGAGGCCAAAGCAAGGTAAGCGTGACGTGCACGCTTACGCACAGCACCTACGCTACCTTGCGAGTAGAATCACGAAAACCCCTGTTGATGAGCACACGTTCATCAACGAGTTCATCTAAGGCCTTGCGGATGGGCCGGTGAAGACCTAAATGTTCCGAGAGGACTTCCATACGCTGGAAAAGGCGATAGCGTATGCGGAACAAGAAGACTTCAGCCTAGGACAGTCTCAGGCTAAATCGTAAAACCATCGTCCGACGAGACGACAGGAAACAGGATTTTCCGAACCTATGGAACTCTGTTACATCGAGAGCGAGAACTCTCGCTCTATGAGTCACAAGCGAACGGCAAGATGCCATTGCTGTCAGAATATCATACACTACGCTCATGAGTGTAGTGTCCCAAGCACCGCATCACATCTAAAAAAGGACGTAATGACCACTATTGGCCAAAGAAAGGTCCATGGCGAGGGTCCGAACATGGCGCTAAACCGCGAAAGCAAGTTGGATCATCAAATGCTGGTCAGGGTCAGTAGGAGCGGAGCACCCTGCTGATCCAGCAACGTCAAGAGAATTTTCAGGACTCTTGACGAAGATTGCTCCCGACACACAGTCGCTGTGTGATAACCCCCAGTGATGAAGAGTTTCTCATCACTTTGAAGATCGAAGTGATAAGTGGAATGTCACTTCGCGCCCTAGTTGTAACAAGGTTAACCGTTACATAACAATTTATAAGAAATTGTTAATATAATTTAACTATAAGAGTTATATTCTCAGAATATTGTCATAAGGACAAATATTCTGTAGCTCTTACGAGTAGCTCTTAATTGGTTGATTTAGACCATTATATCAACCAACGAAGACGGGCCACGACAGACACACGCAATGAGTGGTGATCAGATAGTTGATATGCACATTTGTATTCAGACATAGTTAGATGAGGATAAACAGTGGTTTATTAACAGACATTAACTATGATAAATACAGTTCTACTTTTTACTTAAACTAAGTACTCGCTTCTTCTTACCGTCTTCCTCTGCACGTACGAGTGTACGTGAAGTTCCGAGGCACCGCCTTTTTCTGTCGTCAGAGTAAGTAGCTTGTACTGTCATCAGTACAAGCTTCAGGGTGCCCCGTCACACCTGGTAGCACTTCGTAGTCCGTCCAAGGACCACGTTCACATCTTACATGAATGTGTTAGGTGATGAAGATGGCCCAAGCTTTCACGCTACGCGTGACGGCTACTCCCATTTGAGCGATGTCGAATGGGATGCGGTTGAACGGATGGGTTCAACCATGGGCATCCATGCTGATAGCGTCATGCTAGAGGCTTTCAATAGAGATGCCCAACATGCTACTATCGCCTAGTTCATTCAAAATGAACTTGACGCTGAACGCGAGAAAGTAGCCTTGCTTCACCAACAAGGTTCTCAACAAGCAGAGTTGTTGAGAGAACAGGGTGCTCAATAGTTTGAGCTGTTGAGACAGCAGCAGGCTGCTGCTGGTGGGTCGATGCACTCGCGACGACCCGAGACCTTGAAGATTGACATCTTTAAGTATAGGAGGGTCGAAAAGGACTCCCTCTTGAGATGGTTCGTCAGGTGGATGACGCCATAAGGGCGCGTTGCATCGACGACGGGGATATGCAAGTTGCACTTGCCCAATCCAATCTGGCAGGACGTGCCAAGACTTGGGCTTTGGGGCTCAAGTTGCACGATCCACACGCGTTTGGGTCGTTAGAAGTCTTCAAGTCGCGGCTCAGACAAACGTTTGAACCGCCTAGAGCTGAGTTCAGAGCTCGAACCGAACTCTTGAAGCTCAAGCAGAGTAAGCGTGATGTGCACGCTTACGCGCAACATATACGACATCTCACGAGTTGTATAAGTTCCAACCCGGTAGATGAACACACGTTGGTTTCGGTGTTCATGCAGGGTCTTGCGGACGGTCCCGTCAAGACTCACCTGTTCCGACTTGAACTAGATTCACTTGAACAAGCCATTTTCATTGCGGAACAGGAAGACTTCAGTCTGAGACAGGCTCGCGCCAGCTCGACATCATATCGTAAGTAGAGACGATATGACAGCGGAGGTACAGAGCCGACGGAACTCTGTTATGTAGAGAGCGAGAAGGCTCGCTCTACAGACTACAAGAAGTTGCAGAAATGCAACAGATGTCAAAAGACAGGACACTACGCTTACTAGTGTAGTGCCCTTCGTCCAGTGTCTCGCAACACTGGGCGTAATGACCGTCCACCCATGAGAAAACGGCAGGGTCGCGGGTCTGCTGTTGGTGCAAAGGCGCAGCAACGGGATGGACCGTCAAAAAACGGACAGGACCAGTAGGTGCGGAGCACCTTACTGGTCCAGCAACGTCAAGAGAATTTGCAGGCCTCTTGACGAAGGTTGCTCCCAACACACAAACATTGTGCGTTGCTGCTCTAGGTAATGAGATATCACTCATTACCTTGAAACTCGTAGTGACAAATAAGTTGTCCCTTCGAGCTCTAGTCGATTGTGGGGCGTCCAACAATTTTGTGCGACGCCAATCGCTGGAAGATGGTCACTTCAAGTTTGTTAAATGTGAAACACCTCCTACTACGAGGATGACGGTACGTCTTGCGACAGGCGCATCCGAAACCGTCATATAGCGTAGAGTGAAGATCCACTATGCGCTAGAAGATACCCAATATGACGATGACTTTATCGTATTGGATTTGGATCACAAATTTGATGTCATCTTTGGAATACCGCGGCTCAGAAGGTACGAACCACGGGTAAACTGGCAATATCGAACAGTAACGATGCCTGCCGCTTGTTCATCAGATGGCCATCTGATGAACGTTTTGGAGCGTTTACAAGCGTGTGGATGTACTACGAGTGACTACGAAGGCCTCACTTGTGGTACGGTCGTTAGTACGAGTCAACAAAACCTTAGTGTAACAAACAGTTATACTTCGGAGCAGAGTTCCGGCGGCTGTGAGGAAACACAGGCTGCGCCGAAGGTCCACCACTCGAATTAGTCGAGTGGACCGGGAAACAGATGTATCCCTAGCGGGGAAGATCTAGAAGAGAAACAATCGATCGCTCAGGTTAAGCGAAACGATGATCCTAGATCGACTGGAGAGTCTTTCGTAGAGGATCTCGCTGTGGTTGCGCAACCCCAGCTAGAGGAAGTTAAGGTTATAAGTCCCGATATTATAAACGCGGCGGAAATCAGATCCCCGAAACCCGAGGGAATAAGTCCCCGGGAAGCCGAAGGAATAAGTCCTTCGAGGCCTGAGAGAATGAGTCCCCAGGAAATGACAGAGACATTGAATGTCCTAGTTATTAACGGATCAAGTTTAGGCGCTTATACACTTGATCTGATTGCGCCTCCGAAGTTGACTTCGGAGATCACTCAGTTGCCAACGCTCGAACATAAAAGGTTCTTGCGTGATCTGCGTAGTGGCAAAGTCAAGCAGATCTGCGTACTCGTCGCTGACGACGAGTGTGTAGCCGACATAAGGTCAGCAACAGTGTTTACTGAGAACAAGAGAGTTCTCAGTAGTTCATCTATGGACGAGAGTGTCCTAGATGAAAAGACACGAGTTGAGCGATGTGACTCCCAATCGTGGGAACCGCTCAAGACAAATCCTCTCTATGAAGATTTGGTTGAATTCAAGGATGTATTCCCTGAAACTGTTCCGTGCGAATTACCGAAGGATAAAGGTACTCGACACGAGGTCGAGCTTAAACCAGGCTCGAAGTACTGTGTCATGAAGCAGTGGCCACTGCCTCGTGAACAAGTTCTTGCGGTCGACAAGTTTTGCCGATCGTTTAGCTGCGGGCCATGTGAGGGAATCAACTTCCCCACATAGCTCTCCGACCTTCTGTGTGCGAAAAGCAACAGGAGGGTGGCGGATATTGCACGCATTTAACAAGTTGAATGCTGCAACGGTACCGGCTCAGACGCCGATACCGAGGAAGGACGTAATCATTGATGGTATCTCAAAGAGTAATATCTTTTCGTCCATGGATTTGATGGATGGCTTCTATCAAATCCTTGTGCGAGAACGGGATATACCCTATACCGCAGTTAGCACGCCTAGCGGCATGCTTCGAGAATGGCTAGTAATGCCACAAGGGCTTAGTAATGCCCCTGCCACGTTCAACAGATGTGTATCACATCTGTTGAGACCAGTACGAGAATTCGCACCGAGTTATTTCGATGACGTATTCATCCATAGTCGGACTATGGGTGGAAAGTCGGATGTTGAGGTTCACAGATACAACGTCCGACAGGTTCTTACAATCATGCGAAAGCATCAATTGTATGCAAACCTCAAGAAGTGTATATTTGCAGCAAGCGAATTACCACTTCTTGGGTGCACCGTTGGTAAGAGCGGTGTACGTCCTGATCCCGAAAAGATCAAGGCGATCACCGACTGGCCTGTGCCAGTTGATGTCAAAGGTCTTCGAAAATTCCTTGGGCTAGCGGCGTATTTGCATAAGTATTCACGCAATTACGCCGAGATGACTGTACACCTCTCTCGTTTGCTGAAAAAGAACGAGAGGTGGTTATGGAACGCTGAATGTCAGCGCTCCTTTGATGGTATCAAGCAGATATTGATACAATCCTCAGTCCTCGCAATAGCCGATCAGGACAGGCCATTTCATGTGGTCTGTGATGCCAGCGATTTCGCAATCGGCTGTGCATTAATGCAGTACGATCTTGAAGGCGTTGAACGCGTCGTCTGCTATCAGTCGCGTCAGCTGCAACCAGCTGAGCGGAACTATCCAGTGCATGACAAGGAACTCCTTGCCATGAAGTATGCACTCGCGAAGTTCAGAGTCTATCTATTAGGAGATAGACCCTTCATTGTTTACACTGACCATGCGTCATTATGCACGGCAGTAAACAGCCCGCACCTTTCACAACGAATAGCGCGGTGGTTGTCATTCTTTGTAGAATACGACTTTACGGTCGAGTACAAACCAGGACGACTTGTTGTCGTCGCTGATGCACTCTCACGTCATCCCGACTTTGAACCAGTCGCGAAACCCAACAGTGAGACAGTCACTGTTGCGGTTATGACGTCCTCAGTACCATCTCCAACGTTGAATGATGATGTGAGGCGGGCATACGCACAAGATGGTAAGATAGTGAAGTTGTTATCACATCTCTCCCAACCATCTCGAGAATCGTTGAAACGATTGTCGCCTGCGTATCGATCTGCATCAGATCGATACACTACTCGCAACGGTTTACTGTATTATACAGCCGTTTCTGGTGAAAACACCACGTGTTGTCATTCCAGATGATACTGATCTGCGTTTGCGGATCATGTTCGAGTATCACGATGCTCCTCTAGGAGGACATCGTGGCCGGGAGAAAACATATCTCACGGTTAGTCGAGACTTTTACTGGCCCCGCCAGTATCAGTTTGTGCGAAAGCATGTTTGCGCATGCGAAGTCTGTCAACGAGTGAAGTCAAGTCCTTCACTGCGCGCACCTTTACAGCCTCTACCGGTTCCGGCAGAATGCTGGGAATCTATCTCAATGGATTTCGTCTTCGGGTTACCCAAAGACGCACGCGGGAATACGGGTATTCTCGTATTTGTTGACAGATTCAGCAAAATGGTACACCTTGTGGCTGTACCAGAGTCAATCACAGCAAGTGGCTGTGCTTGTGTCTTTATCGACACCATCTTTCGACTTCATGGGTTGCCCCGTGAACTCGTATCAGACAGAGATCCACGCTTCAAAGCTGATTTCTGGCGTTCCGTGCTCAAATCACTCGGAACGCGCTTGAAGATGTGAACATCTGATCATCCAGAGTCAGATGGTCAGACGGAACGAGCCAATCGTGTCCTCGAAGAGATACTTCGAGGATACGTACACTCCTTTAAGAGTTGGAGTGACTTTTTGCCAATGGTAGAGTTTGCCAATAACAGCTCGGTGCATGCGTCCACGACACATACACCGTTTTACGTGAATGGTTTGCGCCATCCACGTGTACCCACCTTAATCGAGTGTAACTCTGGTTTAAGGGGGGAGAGACTCGCGCGAGCAAAAACCGATTTGGTTCACGCTCATCACGCTCTGACGAAGAGGTCATTGCGTTTGATGCCGATATCGATAACATCGATATTGTTAAAGATGATGCCAGTGAGAGCGCGAAAGCCCTCACTGAAGAAAAGATTGATGTCGCTGCAGTGCACTCACAACGCACTGAAGCTAACGAGTCAGCAGATGAGTTCATACTGGCTCGTAAAACGGTAGTCCGTTTTGTGCAAGACTCCATCGCCGAAGCGGTGGATTAGCAAAAGCAAAACGCAGACAAGAATGGAAGGGCAAACACTCTTTTATTAATCAAGGTGACTTAGTCCTACTGTCTACGGTTAATCTACCAAAGCATGGTAGTGACTAACTTGGGTAGCAGTAAACTTCTACCCAAGTACATCGGCCCATTTCGTGTATTGCACCGCTTAGTCAATGCATACACGATCGAGTTGCCACGTAAGATGCGAACGCATCCCACGTTTTACGTTGGTCGGCTTAAGCCGTACCATCAGTACGCTGCTTCTTCCGATGAAGAACGCCCTTGCGTTCAAGCATCTCACAGAGGGCCTTGTGCTCCCGATGGTGGATATCGACAAGGGTCTGAAGAGCAGTTATCTCAGCGGGACCGGTCAATATCCACACGAGCTACGCTTAGCTCGTCACGCAGAGATGTCAAAGCTCTCTCGTTCTCAAGCTGAGTAAAGGCAAACTCAGCTCGATGCTTCAAGACAGTGTCCGCCAGTTGAAGACGCCTGTCCCGCTCGTGCTCGAGATCGCCGCGTAACGCATTAGTTACGCGATAAAAGAGGCTCTCGGGGACACACGTTCACCACGATCGTGTGGAGAGCGTTTTCCCTCCTCCTCCACCTCCATTGGAGGACTCTCGCGGTGTCCAGCGCTATTTAGTAGAGCGGCTGTTGAATTTACGCGATGTGAACGGACGTCGGACGAGTTACCTCGTCCGTTGGCGCGGTTATCTCCCGTCCTGGGATACTTGGTAATCCCGCTCCCAACTGATGATTGACGT